CGCTTGGATGCAGTCCTGTGCCACGTGCTCTAGGTGTCCCTGCGTATGCAGGGGGAGTTGGACGACTAGATGATCTCTAGAGGTCCCTTCCAACCCTAAGCATTCTATGATTCTATGATTGGCTGTATACACCAAGAACCTGGAGATGCTGCATCACTCTTCATGAAAGAGATGCCCTCTGGAAGGCGCCAGCGTGACCTGCCACCGCTCGGTGCTGCACAAGGAGTTTCTTTCGTGATTTTAATTACCATGGCCGGGGCACCCATTGGTCTCTGCATCCATTCTAAAGCAAAGGCTTTAGATGTATGTCCAGGCCTGGAAGAGACCTAGGATAGTGGAAAATAATAACCATGTAGAGGCTTCTGGAAATGAAACTGAATCATTATGCAAGTCAAACATAAGGATCTGACAGAATCAGCTTTTTATTATTTATTACTTAGGGTCTCCTCATGGTGAGGGGTTCACCTCAGGTCTTGTTTCCCTCATTTCTTTGTTAACGGTTACCTTAGAAACCGCGAGCTTAATGATAAGGAAAGAATGCCGCCCCCGAGGGCCTAAGTAAAATATTTAACAAAGGCCACGCGTCGCTCCCGGCCCTTCCTCACCCCGCGGAGGGCAGGAACGCGGCGACGCGGGGCCGTCCGCGCCGGAAGAGGCCGCGCGGCCATGCCCGCCCTCGCCCGTGGGACTCCATGTCCCGGCGTGCCCTGCGCGGCTCCCATGGCGACGGGGAGCCGGGCCGCGGCGCCGAGGAGCGATGCCCGCGGGCAGGTAACGGGGCGGCCGTTACGGGGCGGAGGGGCGGCCGTTTGGGCCGTTGCTCCCGGCCGTTGTCCTCAAGGACCGAGGTGAGGGCGGCTGCGCGGCGCCGGGTGACCGCTGGGCCTCGCGGCAACTGCCCGGGACACCGAGGGCTCCTCCGGGCCGCCCCCGGGCCGCGAAGGGGCGAGTCCCCAACCCGCCCCACCGCGGCCCGGGGGCGGCCCGGAGGAGCCAGGGCCGCGGCGCGGGGGAGGAGAAGCCGCCTCGTCCTTAGGAGACCCGTCCTTAGGAGGCCTCCGCCACAGCGGCCGCGTAGGGGCTTTTCCTGAACGCGTTTCCGTTAAATATATATGTCTATCATCTGACAAGCGCAAGGAATTTATTGTGAAAAGAAAATAAAAAGCACCGCAATCGCCCGCATTTATGTGTTTAGATGTTTTCGCAGAATGTCATGGGTGAACAATTTTTTTCTGATGACATCTTGTTTTTCTGCCTAGTGGTACTTTATGGGATCTTGCTGTAGCTGAAGTGGAGAAAAGGGAGAATGCTGAAGGCGATGGCGAGGGTGCAGAAGTTTCGGAAAAGTCCGTGTTGTTTGTGGGAAGCAAAAATGGGGTAATGATGAATATTACACAGTTGTGTGCTTTCTCTGAACACAGTCTGTGCTAGGGGAAATACCTGAAGAGCATTCACTTCACTTCATTCTTGGGGCAGACCAAATATTGTGTGCTCTTGATTCTGAGCAGTTAGATACTCTTACAGTTCAGAAGCTCAAGTTTATGCTCCGCAGAGCCCAAACTCCAACAATTCTGATCAGGGATGTGCTCCTTCTGCGGGTCCAGCTTCCTTGATTTGTGTAAAAACAGCCAGAAATAATGCTGCACTCTCGAATTCTTTGACACATTGTCATCAAATCTCCCCTTGCAAAGGATCGGTAGGTAACAAAGTAGCTTAGATGTGTGGATACCAGTTCTACTGTAGATAGAGGTCCCATCATCCTACTCAGAATTGTGTCTGTATTTATGTGACATAATTTGAAAATTCATTAGAAGTGATTGCAGGCTCACATGTGCCCAAGGTTACACTGTTCCATAAGCTTCATCATTAGTAAGTTTTTTTTTTCCTGTTAGCATTTATTTGAAATGTAGATAAGGAAATATGTGCCCTTTTACTGAAGCGAATCATATTTTTAAGAATGCACTTTTTATGTTAGAGGGATTGGCATATGCACAACCTCTGATTTGCAATTTTAAAAGGATTTTTTAAAGAGAAAGTACAGGTACTTTTCACATTATATAAAATTCAAGAATTTTTGAGAGAAGAAAGGAAACAGGAAACAGGAGATGAGTGAAGCTGCCCAAGCTGTTCAAGGCCCTCTAAGTGTGAATTTCAGCAGTGTAAAGACCCTGGGGGGGGGGAAGCTTATATGTATATATCTTTTAAGCATTTTATTCCCATCTGATCAATAATAATTTACACATAACCAGTGGAAATGTACTGTTAACAAAATAAGTTAAACAGTTTAACAGAGTTGGCCAGGTTGATCCCTAATGTCTAAAATTTAGATGCACTGCCACTATATTTGTCATCTCCACTCGTTTGTAATTATAATAATGGTAGTATAACTGCATCCTGACAGAAAGTTGGCAATTAGAATTCCACTAGCAAAGCTATAAACAACTAAATGAGTTTACACTTACCAGACACCTTATTACTAGAACATTAGAAGAATGAGTTGCATTTAACTATATCACTTTTATACCCTAATGATATTATAGTAGCCTTTGTTTTTAATTTTCAGGGAAAAACTACCATAATACTCAGGTGTCTTGACAGGTATGTGTTAACATTTTTAATGTATATATAAACTGAATACTCATATGCTGATCATCATAAAGAGTGATATAAGAAACAGCTGCCAGTAAAAGAGAATTCTTTAAAATATTGGTAACAAGTAGACTTAGCCTTGTAAACTAGGCCATTATTTACTAGGGCTTGATAATGGTATTTTAGCATTTACATTCTTATATTATTAAAGTCAACTGGATATTTTTCCAAAATTTCATATAAGTAATTATATTATGTGATCATTCATAACATGTATGTACGGTTTTTTTGTGATCCTTTGCTCAGGTATGGATAAACTTATTCCCCTTTATTACCACCTGTCACCTGACCCCTTCAGTCCTCCTTTCCAGTGCGAGAGATTCCGAATGGATGTCTATTCTGCTGCTGCTCCTCTGTCTTAAGAAACATCTAATGAACCTGTTGTCTTAACATGTCTTCAAATGTACTCCATATCTTGCTGTTGCTAAGCCTAATCCTGTGCTGACCAATAAAAAGAATTTAGTAAAAGTAGAACTAACTTAATTTGATGAAAATATTTTGGAAGATCTTAATAAAATAAAATTTTGTTAACTTTTTTCATTTGATAGGGAAGAGATTCCAAAACCAACATTAGCCTTGGAATATACTTTTGGAAGAAGAGCAAGGAGACACAATACAGTGAGTACCCAGAAAATTGTGTCATATATCTGTTCTTTTTAAGCTTATTGATTTACCTATGAAACAAATGGGATTTTTAGAATTTCATTATAGAAAAAATAGCTAGCTTAATTTTATATTTTAATATTTTAGTATCTTTTCCTTTTTCACTAAACTGTGTTAGATCAAAGCATAATACAAAACAATCAATTTGTTTATAAGCACTTCCTTGGTTGTAGTGTCTGAGTGTTCTTTTTTTTTTTTTTTTCCTATTGCAAAATGTTGCATGCTTTTGCTCTGGGAATATTGAACCAATTGCCATCACTGCAAAACACTGTCCAGCAATGGTAACTATTGCTGGTTTATTACTGATGCAAGGAATGGTAGATCTGACTCTGAAAGACAAAATTTATTTATAAACTTTCCCAGAAACTAAAAGGGAAGAGAAGATGGATCAGTCAGTTGCAAGCTTCTCAAAATGCCTCCCTCTTCTACTTTCTCTATGTGTAGCAATAAACAAAAGGAATTATTTTCATGTTTAACATTAATCACAACTTTTTTTTTTAAGTAGTCATCATCAAGGTAGTCACAAGCTTTTCAAGAGTCTTTCATAACTATTATATGGGATTTCTTGAACATGCTTTTTTTTTCTTTACTGGTATTATTTTGTACATTTTTGTTTGTTTGTCTTTAGAGAAAAAATATGAAATAATAGAGTGACTTGCATGTAAAAGCCAACTTTACCAGCATCAAGATTTTCTCTTTTTATTGCATGGAAATTCACATTTCTAATGCAAGAAACTCTTTTGCAGCCTAAAGATATAGCTCATTTTTGGGAGCTAGGTGGTGGAACCTCGTTACAGGAACTGATTCGAGTACCGATTACTAGCAGCAACATAAGGTAAGTTCTTAATATTAAAATAACAAAGCTAATCCAATCTTTCATTCAAACAAAAGTAAATCTCTAGATTTTTCATTGTGGAAAACTTCTACCCCTGAAACTCTACTTTGACCTTTCTTTTCCTGATGCTCTATCAATAAACCAAATAAACCAAATTCTTAGCAATCTTCAAACACAAGACAAAGCAGTACTGTGAAGGAATTGAGCTGGCTTTAAGTAGATGGTACAAGAGATGCAGAAAAAGACAAGACGTGGTGTCTCTTTATGGTCAATGGAAGAGCAGAAAAAAGGCAGCTTGGAGGGATATCAGAGAGAAAATTTGTTTTCCCACTTTTGTATGCCGTCTCTTTGAGGAGTTTTTTTCAGGCTTGAGGACAAGATGAAGATTGTAAGAAATACTTGTGGATTTTAGGAAATGTATGATCTTCTTTTCATCGGACAGCCATTACAAGAGAAGAGAGTTTGTGTTTCTGAGAATAGAATTATTAAAGCGATTTAACGAGAAAATGAAAGTGAATTAACAAAAAATAAAGGGAATGTAGGGAGACTAATCCAGGAAAGAGTAATGGTGTAATAGGAAGAAGAAAGTAGATGCTGTTTGCATAAAGAAAAGAGAAGGTGATGGCAAGGTACCATTTTGTGTTTTCTTTTCAGTCAGGGGAATAAAAAAACTGAGGGGGTGAAGGGAAAGAAAACCCACTTGTTAACATTTAATTTCTGTTCCATTGCTTATTTCGTTTGGTAATGAGCTTTAACTTCTGCAGAAAATAATGGGAAGGCTGCCATTTTTATCATCTGCATTTGTTACTGTACTCGCTACAGAGAAATGTCACTATTTAATGGCACTTTCTGGTGCCAGAATTGCTTGGTGAGTTGGAGAGAAAGATCAACTAGCATTGTTCAGCCACCGTCTGACTGAAGGCAACTAGAGCACCAGCAGTCCTCTCCTTCCTTTTTGTTGATAAGGAGTATTCTGATATGGATGATCTCAAAGAACAATGTTGCTATCACATCCCAGAACCTTCAGACCGCCTGTTTTGTAAGGCAGTATTTTAACAAAGCACACAAAAACACAACCATTTCAGTAAAGTGTTTTTCACTGGTTTTCTCATCTGCCTATAGTCAATGGATTGGCTTATTTAGTAGTTCCATGAACAATGTCAAGTTTTACCAAGAAACATTCCATGTTTTTTCATTGCATTCTGAAGTGAAATTGGACTTTGCTTTGTAGAGTTGCTGCTAGCACTCTGCTTCAGAGTCCTTCCGAAGTCAGGATGGAACGTGAAGGAATCACTGTGTCCAGGCAGTGTGCAGCATTCGTGATGCGCTTCACAGTGGTATTGTCATGTTGCTGGAACATGAGACAGTGAATAAATTTTAATAAACCTCAGAGTATCACTAAGAGATGTCACCCTGTGCTGTTATATTTAGTTCTGTCTTAGCACACGCATTTCACAGTTTTTGCTTTCAGCATTTGTAGTGCAGGTATGGTTGTATATGAAAATGTTTGTGGTTTTATGTGCTAAAGATTTTACTAAACAATGCCTTTTTTCTTTCTCTTTTCTTTTCTTTTTAAATAGGGCATTTGCTATAGTTCTTGTATTGGATCTGTCCAAACCTAACGAACTCTGGACTACTATGGAAAGTCTTCTGCAGGTCATCAGGAGCCATGTGAACAAAATTTTGACAAAACTGGGTAAGACAAATCCTGAAGTAGCTGCTGAAATTAAGCAGAGGATGTGGAACAATCTACAGAAGGATCATCCAGTAAGTTATTTCTAATATTTTCTCCAGATGTCATAGGCCTTTATACAGTTAAAGATAATGCGTTTGAAAATCGTAAACAACTCTTTTAGATTTTTATGCATGACTGAAAATCCATTTGATGTAGATGAACCTGTTCACTGGAAAATTATAGCAATTTAATAAAAATTCAATAAGAGCAGAAACAAGGAAAAAAGGTTTCTTATATCTTTTTGTTAGATATCTAATGTGATTGTTATGGCATGTTACACCAATCAAAAGAAATAGTTTTAGAGTAGCAGTTTGCTTTTTCCCCCCTCATCTTTTTTTAAATGAAGATGAAAACTAGAATGTACAAAAGTCATCTAGCAAGAGACTAGCTGAAGGTACAAATTTAAGCAAAGAATATAGTTATAACAGCCATCAACATGACTATATACTTTGCATTTATTTAAATGTCTATCACAAACTCAATGCCTTTTGATAATCTGACAACTAATTAAATTATAAAGTTTCAGAAATGTTAACATGAGTTCTTTAAACATAATTGCTAACTAAATCTCTGGAAAAGCTAAACTAGATTATGTGCGAGAGAAATGAAAAGGCATTGTGCTTTATCCTCTCCAAATGTTGTGTATATATAACGCATAAATAGGTATTCAGCACTTCAAAGACTTGGAACGTAAATCTAGTTACTGTGACTTCTGTAAAATGCTGTAATACTACAAATGCTCATATAGCTCAAAAATTGAAAAGTACCTTTATGTTTTTAAGACAGCAGCATATGCAACACTCAATAGAGCTGGAGTACAGGATTCCAGTTCTGACCGATTATGATTTTGTTCTTTTACTTTTAGAAAAGGTAGTTCACAAAAGGAAGAGGCCTTCAAATGCACAGGGACACAAGTTGTAGCCACACTATCTGGGTTACATATTGTGCTTTTAGCATCTGAAAAACACAAACTTCTTTCAATAAGTAAAAAAGATAACACTATGAATTGATTAGAAGAAAAGGCTTTTATACTTGCCCTGTAGGGGACGTAATTATACATTCTGAACTGGCATTTCTACTCAGCCTTCATTATGGAAAACAGAAGGGAGGGCAAACAATATTATGTTACTACTGAGTTCTCTTTAAAATTTCATCATTGTTAGAGGGGGAAAAAACATTATTGCCCCTTTTGTAGGAGGAAATGCTATCTTTTTATAGTCACAAAAGTAACTGACAGTTCGGGGAAATTTTTATGTTATTTTGTAGCTAAAAGTTTTGTTGTTGTTGTTTTTGATTAACTGGAATTAATGAGGTTCAGAGAGTGTTTTTGTTAATGTCTGGATGTATTCCATTATACTGCATAAGGAATTTTTAGCTGTGATGGTAAAGCGTAAACCTAGCAAGGGCAAACGTTCTTTAAAAAGGCTGAATTCACCTAAAGTAGCCTGTAATCAAGAGTTGAAGGGACAGATAAATAGAGGTTTCTGTTGTTTTTCTATTTTTTTTCTTCATTGAGAGATGAGCTCTTCTCTCTCTCTTTTTTTTTTTTTTTTTTTCAGTTCTGTAGCCCCAATTTTGGGTGAAGATGGTATTGCTGAAAGGTTTTGCTTGGCAGTATATGAATGAAGCCATTATTTCCTCTCAAAGTACAGGATTTTCAATATTTGTAGCTTCTTGCCAATATGCTGACAGTCTTTTCACCTGTATGTGGAATGACCAGCTTTAGGACGGAGCAGGTAGCTCAGCCTGGATTACGACACAGATCTTTGCCACTCTGCTGCAAGAAGGGAGCTTCTCTAGAGCACTGAGTGCTAGAGCTGACATGAGAGTCTAGTTTAATGTCGTGTGGATTTCTGAAAGGCTGCCAGCTAATTTGAGAGTTACTGCAATATATTTATTAATTATTAAGTTAACTATTAAAAAGTTAAATCTACATTCTAGAGTTACTGAATTAAAGTTAGGTATCTAATGTAAGGTCTTGAAAAAATAAGCCTTGTCTTCTGTTAACTAAGTCTTAGAGCCTTCCCTTTGTCTCAATCCTCTACTCCTTTCTAACACTGCTTAACTGTAATGTATCTGTTTAATAGGATTATGAATTAGTTGACCCTTTTCCATTACCTCTCGTGATAATTGGAAGCAAATATGATATTTTTCATGTAAGTAATACTTTGTATTGATAATTTTTGTATTTATATTCTATTTTCTATTAAAAAGATAATACTTTTTTATTTATAATGAAAAGACTCCTGATAAAGGTTCTACAATATAATACAGTCTTAGTAGCAGAATGGCAATTATTTGACCAGATACATGACGAGTCAGCCTTGTACCACAAAAAATCTTTTCCTCCAATAGCATTATGGGAGACATGCTGTCATTCTTAAAAAGATATTTAAATATAAGTAGCTGCAGACCAAGGCGGAAGGTAAGGAGACATCTTGTTGATCCCTTTCTTTTGTAATCAGAGAAATACAACTCCATCTGTCCCTCTGACTGCAGCTGTATCTGTATGGCAATGAACGATGGGTGTCTCTCAAGTCAGCTGGTCATAATTTTTGGTGTAGTTCATTCTCAAATTTGCCTTCTTTTTTTTTTTTTCCCCCTCTATCTCTCTTCAAAAAAAAAAAAAAAAAAAGGTTCTAGTTTTACCATCTTTTACAGACCAATGAGTAATTGCATCTTTCAAAGGGGTGGTTGGAGAGAAGGAAGAAATATCAGGGAGAAGTACTGCTGGATTCTCACCCAGTATTTTAAAAATCCAGACAAGTATGTACATAATTTTCAAGTAGCATGTGCTCATGAGAAACTAGAAGAGCATGTTTGATTTTAACTGTCTTGCTGGCAGTTTGTTCTTCCCTAGATGACAATATAGTGCTTTGATACTAGGCCAACTCTTTGAGTTACTCAATTTGTATTAATAAGGTACTGGGTATTCTTTCACTCTGGGGCCTTATGCTGAGCCATAAGTCCTTTAAAATCAGTAATTCTCATGTAATAAACATGATAAAAGCCTCATTACATTGGCTTCTGTGGAAAGAATATTCTGGGCTTTGCTGGCACCCTGTTTTCCTTACTTTATTCACGGAAGGCCATCTATTGATGAAAAGATATTTTGATGCACTTTTCAAGTCTTGCAAATGTTACAATTTGGAAAGCATATAGCCAAAGGCTTACTGAAAGTCAAATATTTTGACAAAAAGAAAAAAATAATCCTTATTCTAGTAAGCAGCATTTCTACTTCTGAAATTTTAAAACAAAAGGGAATAGAAACTAGTTGGAAATTGAATACACATTCCCAATTAAAAAACTTTTTCTGGAATAATACATTACCTGAATTAAGCTGCCTCTGTAAAAAAGAAACAAAGGGAAATTGTGACATCTCTTTTCAATCAGAGTAGGCTGTTACTGATTCTGTCTTAAGATATAATTATGCTGACAGCTGAACGCCTCATATATTGTAACCTAATGCATTTCAGTTTAGATAAAAAAATGAAAAGTTCTGGCAGTAATAGCTTGGGTTTTGTTTCTTACACATACATTCCAATATCAACTTTTTCAGGAGTTTGACTCTGAAATGAGGAAAATCATAAGCAAGACTCTTCGATTTGTTTCACATTATTATGGAGCATCATTAGTGGTATGTGCATTCACTTTTCAAATAAGGAAGGGAAAAGATGAGCAATGTTTATGCTGTGAAATAATATTGTGAAAAATAGAAATATAAAAATCCTAGAGAAAATAGGATGTATTTGGTCTTACAGTAGCTTTCTCCATGAGCTAATTTCTCAAATGGGTTGCAGGTACTGGCAGGAGATAGATGAATATGCCCCCAGAATAAACCAGTACCAGCAAAAACTAAAGAAAAATGGTTACCTGCTAGGCAACTCACTTCCCCAGAACACTTCACTGCACAGCAGGACACAAGTTTTTGTTGGTACAAGAAAGCAGGACAGATAAAAAATGATTATCCTAGATAGAAGTAGAGAACTGGCCCATTTGGTACCAGTATGAGTTTAGCATAACCTGCATAAGTGATCAGACTTTTGTAGATTTGAAATCGTGAATCAAAGGGCACATCTTCGTGGCAGTGTAAGTATACTCTCCTGAAGCATCACTGTAAGGCCAGGTCTGGCAGTTCTGAGAGGACTTAAGCTGACAGATAAAATAAATTTTTAGAAGATTAATATTATTGAATTCTCAGTGAACAGAAGAGGAATTTACATGTCATAAAACAGAATAGAAATCTGCCAGCTTAAGTCATTAAAACATTATTTTAAGTAAAAATGAAAAACTGGGAGCTTAATACTCCTCTCTGGATACTAAATCACGATTCCCCTTGAAATGAGTGGAAGAAGCTTCATTTCTTTCACTTGGGATGTAACTTGGTTCTCAAAGAGATGACTTGGTTAAGCTACAAAAGCCCTTAGAGAGGAGAAGCACGCTGCTTCTGAGGGTATTCTGGGGGCTCTTGTTTGAGAAATCCGTACCAATTCTGTCGGTGCTTATCACGCTACTTTTATGACATGTGAACACATTTATAGCTAGCTGTTCATTACATCTTTGTTCAAGGTATTCTGGATAATTTTAATGTAATTTAAAATCTTAATAACTCATTTGTCTCAAGCAAAAAAAATATATATCTATTAATGTGCATACTTCAGAAGCTGTGAATCCATATATTAAAATTTAATCTTTAATCTTCTTTCTTTAATGCTGTTTTTAATCTTTCTTGATCTATATATTTAGTGACAAATACTTTCATGTTTTGGAAAGGGAGGGTGAGATTTTTATCCTGGTAGATCCAATGGACATACACTAAGTGTATTGAGGTCAGGAACTAGCCAGGCTCTATTTGTAATCCTCTGTGCAGATGACATAACATGTAATATTTCGGTGATGGAAGATCATGATGTATATTTTATTTTCTGAATTCATCTTGTTT